GGAGGAGGAAGAAGAAGAGGAAGAAGAAGAAGTAGAAGAAGAGGAAATGTAGGTAAACTGTCTGAGAAAAAGACTGATAGCTGGTCCCATAATATAAACTCTACTGTTCTAAGAGATATAGATTGCTTTGTAAATATTTATTTTACTGACAAACACAACAAGATCTGCACTGAAATGCTGTAACATGGGCACTAAACTGCATCTCTGGGGCAGGAAGAATTTTATCACATCTGACAGCAATTTATTACAAAAAAAATAAATATAACAGGCAGACAATTCTCACAGCAGGTGTGGAAGCATTTATAAAACAAAAATCTGTCTGTTCGTTTATTTTTGATGTTTTTCACACAAACTAATCTCAAGTTGAATTCAAAATCACATACCTCTACTTTAGATCACTGATGTCCTGGTTCAGGTGGCGTTTGTAACTTAAAATTTAAACTTTATTTTTTATTAAATCATTTTTTTAACATTTAACAATAAATAAGAAAACATGCCTTTAAAGCTGCACTGTGTAAGATTTTTTTGTTGTTAAAACTGAAACAACTCACATTACTGAGTCAGAGACAGACAACAACACACGTCTTTACATATTAACTTTACATGCACAGCCTCAAAATGAAAGTCTGGCTCGATGTTTAGGTCTCAAATGTAAAAGCAACCCTATACTAATGACAATATAACGACAAAAGTAAATAATTCGCTCACATCCTCAGAAGAGACGTCCTTCACCAAGTTTAGCCTGAGTTCTCTTTGAATTCTCTGTGAATTGTCAGATTCACCCCCTCAGGAAAAGGGGTCTGAAGCACAACCCACATCACTCATGCTGAGTGCAATTACACAGTTCCACCAGAGAGGTGTCCAAATCCCCAAAATGTACATAGTGCAGCTTTCACCATTTAAAAAATGTTTTAACGAAATGTTTTAATCTCAGAAACAATATCTTATTTTTTAACAAGGTTTCTTTTCTGTAACATGAGTTACACAAATTATGCTTAACTAGCATCCATGCTAATGATACAAGGACATTTAATGTATTCTATTTTTACTTAAAACATTTTCATTAATCATTTTCTTTCAATCTATAAATTGGGCAACAGGGTTAAATCTTCAAAATCACCTCACCAGTCAATATCACAGTATCATTAAAAATAAAGAAACTGTTAAATATGCTACTTTTGAATGTTTCAGATATTTCACAGGTGTTCATTTAACAGGGTTGAGTAAATGTCAAGGGACCAAAATTTACATTCTTCATAACCTACAATGGACATCAAAAGGAAGCTTCAAGCATGAGACATTGAACAGGTTTAAATATTAATGCAAAATAATTTTCTAAATGATTTATCTGAAAACATCCTTATAGGTTGTTGTGAAAGATCACTTTATTTATGTTTAAATGTTACATATTTATGTATAAATGTAATGACAATGTCAGAAAATGACATCTAAGCTAATACGCCAAAAGGCCATATCAGAATAATTTGGCTCTGAAACCATAAGAGTAATCAAATAGAAGAAGAAAAACAACTAAATGCGGCATCCGAAGTCTATGATAGCTGTTGAATCCCATGATTCCAACTCTATGGAAGATTCAGTAAACTTTGACAAGATGGTAATTATCCTTAAAAAATAGATCCAATAAGATTATTATTGTAATACGTTTACACTGTAAACATGTTTTAAATGACATGTGTCAAAATACTAGAAGCCCACAACATGTTATATATCAAAAAACTAAAGTTTAGACATTTTAGAGCCAAAAAAATGCTCAAAGTAGAGCTAGAAGATTTATTTTTATATTGAAATCACAATATGAAAGAGTGCAATTTTCAAATCACAAGAGCTGCAATTTTTGTTATATAAAACATTATCAACAATTTTGTCTTAACAAGTTTTAAATGAAAAAAAAAACAAACAAACTAATAACACAGAGCTTATGAACTGCCTGTAGATGAGCTGGAGCAAGCAGAAGCTATAAAACACCCATCTAACTAACTGGTAGTCTGACACACTCAGTGTTCAAGCTTCATGCCAGAAAAATGGATATTCTGCTGTTCTTGGCCAAAAGGACAGACCTGGAAATTAATTTATAGAAAATTACTGCATTAAAATCACAATCGCAATTGGATATTTTCCCCAAATCGTTCAGCCTTGGTTCAAAGTGTTTTTCACTGATTTGCCCCCTTCTGGAGTTATTAATATCAAACAGACCAGTGACTCAGTGAAACTTCCTTTCCTGTCTGCTTTCTTTCCTCTTTTACTCTTATTTTTTGACTGATCTACAAGCCATGTGGATCCACATGTTTGTCTGCTCTCCTAATATATTCAGTGAGGCCATGAGCTACAGATCAGGCACAATCAGACAGGAAAGCAGAGAGGAAAGAATGTCTCAGCCCACCGTTTAGATGCAGCCTAAGAGAACAAGAATGGAACATATTACTGAGAATAGAATGAGAATATATACGGTGAACAAATGTAATAACCGAGTGTAGTAAGAATAGAATAAGAGATTAAAGGGCCCATATCACTGAAAATCAGTGTTTCCTCTCTTTTTTGGAGTTTGATGTAGTATATAAATATTGGTAATGTTCACTTTCATACAGTCAATATACGGAAACCAAGCTGCAAAAACAGCCCGTTTTGAAATTGTAGTTTTTATGATGTCACCAAACACAGTTTAGCCCCGCCCACTCAAGTGGTAGTGCTGAAGTGACAGTGTTTGCCAATGCATAAAACAATGCAGGCATCCAAACAGACGTCATTTACCCATGTCAATCTTATCTAGGCTCTTCTGCCTTTGGTTGCATTTGAGGCCCATCTGTCTTTTGCAGAATGAAGCTTCAGGAGTCAGCACACACACATACACACACACACACACACACACGCACACAGAATGCAGTTCAACAGACTCTTTATTCACAAAGACACAGGGTTTGTGTATCACCCACTCCTGACCTCAGTGGGGGGCTCAAGGCCCACACCCTAGGCAGATGTTGGCATAAACAACATGAACAGACAGTGTATGATAGAATGTTTTGAAGCCAGAAGAAGCTGAAGGCCTCATCCTGGCCTTCCCTTACCAGCTCCATGGCTAAAACCTTCATTTTCTCCACAGATAATAACATCTCAGCATATCTATCTTTTAGCGAAAACCATAAACATAATCAATTTCATTGATTGATGCATATTCTAAGTAAAAGCAAACATAACAGATGAAAAAAAGCAAACATAACACGGCTATGCACTTTAACTTTTTTCAATATTTGTATGTTTTTATCCACCAGTTAATTTCTACATGACAATTTCTACCCTCTCTTTGTCCCTTAGAATTACCCCCTTAAAATCCCAGGTTTATTACACACCGAGGCTTATTATTCAGTAACTACAGGGACTTCAATGCAAACCGCCTGAGCTATTCTTAGGTTTTAGGAGTGTGTAATAAAACCTTGGGCCCACTAGCAGGCCCTGGCAATTTAAGGGGTTAAAGAGGCTGTTTTTATTACCTTGCCTTAAAGATTGATAGATGTAAATGAGCTGATTCATGATTGGCCACCCTGTGGGCTAAATAGGCAGATATACGTAAATGTTTTTCGTATTTCATGACATCACAAAAACAAAGAATTCAACACAGGCTGTTTTTTGCAGGCTAGTTTTCATATATGACCTGCATTTTAAAACAACTTTGAAAGTGTTTACATATTACATCACAAAATCTTCTATTTAAAAAAAGAGAGAGGAAATTTGATTTTCCATAATATGGACTCTTTACAGAGCAGTAGCAATGGCAGCCTATTTAATTAATAAAGGCATAAAGAAAGCTTGGAAAATG